GACTTTTTTTTGGCCTTAACTTAACCGAGAAATGCCAGTAATCAAAAAACTATGACGAGGAGTCATAATGTAGAATATGCTAGGATTTGTAGTTCCTCACAATACAATTGAAAGATCATTACCAGAAGGCTAACCCTGATCACTAACCCGGATCAAGTGCAGACTCAACTTAAAGAGTCAAAAGTAACAAAGACATCATGGTATATTGAAGAAGACTGAAGCTAGAGATTGAAAACATAAACTCATGTTTACAATGCTTACTGAGGTAATAATGCAAGTGAGAAGTAGGGTCATTTTCTCATAGACTTCTATACAATCACACTTCTTTTTGCGAGAGGAGTCAGCCCCTGCTGGTCATTAGAAAGAATGCAGGTTTAAGGCACTTCCACATTGGCTTCACTTTTCCCCGGATTTCACGACATGGTTTTAACACTGTGGGATTACCATCAAGAAAAATGAAATGCTCTCAGTAATACGCTTCATCCTATAAACTGCATTACTCTGATACCTGTATCATGGTAATTTGGTTGAAACAAGTTAATTCAGATTAAATCTCAAAACCATTATCATTTTTGAACATCACAAGATTTTACTTTCTTTTTTTCCCTCCAATTTGTCAATTTTATTCTCTAACTTGTTCTTTTTTGTCTTTGTGACTCAGTAACACACTCATCTGTGTTTGTGTGTTCATTTAGCTACATGAGCCAAAAGGCAGGGAGATAGGAGATGAAAATGAAACAGGAGATAGAGGGAATGTCTGAGAGAATCTTTTAATAAAAAATGAGAGGATTAGAAAGAGGTTGAAGGACTAATTACTTGCCAAACTGCTTAGCAGGCCAAGAGTTGGAGACTGGTGCAGTTTGTGTAGTGGTGTAGTGGCACTGGACGGACAGCTGTTACATGTTTGTATGTAACCATATTTATTTTGAACACAGCATCACTAATAAAAGATATTTGATGACTTAAAAAAAAGACGATAATCTCATGACTGCTGTTAAAAGAAACATGTACAGCTCACAGTCAAAAGAAATAAACAGGAGTGAAAGAAAGCAGGTCTGTCACACAGCCAGGCTGCCTGCCACATCTAATAAACCAATCTGTTATGTAGACATCCAGCAATCCAGTCACTCAGTCAAAAAAGAAGGCAGACAGGAAGAAAGTCTGCTAATAGTAGAGAGGCAAATGAAGACTAATGGAGATCTGAAGGTCAAGAAAAATACATTTGAAAGTTTAGACACAGCAACACTTTTTTTGATTCCTCCTTTCGAGTGCTGTCGTGAGAAATGGAGAAATGTTGTTTGCCCGCAGCTACAGGGGAGCAGAGTAGAGAAAGAGAGGGGAAGCATGGAGAGACATTATGGCAAGAATGGACAGTGGAGGGGACACAATGGGGTGCCTTTGAAGCCGGCATCTACAAAAGCTGCTCATGCTAGCAATGCCTCCACTCGAATCCACAGACATACACACATGCTAACTTTTTTTTTCAGGAATGCAACCATAGCAACACTTATTCTAAGTCCTATGGAGAAGAGTCACCATTGCCTTCTTTTAGCTTCACTGAAGCTACAACGCATGCTGACCGTTGTCAAAACAATCACCTTTTATCTGTTGAGTGATCTGATGGTTCAGGTTTTAGAGGTCATCACTCCTTTAATAGCCAATAAGATTTCTGGGCCTATTCTGAAAGCATGTTATTTTAAAGATGGCAATGTCACCGGGTCACTGTGAATGCTGCAGTGAGTTCAGACAATGCTCAGGTTGTGTGTAAGTAGCAGCGTGGCCTTGAGGGCTGCTCAGTCACAGACTTCTAATACACGGCATGCTCTCATTGTGCTGTTGTAGTCACTTCTGGGAAATTATGTTTTTTGAAAAGATACAAAAGGTACACATGCATGAATGCATACTAATGACTCAATTGCTCACCAACTTGAAGGGTCGCTGACTGCCGCTTTTCTCCCTCAATGGTGACATTCATCTGAGTATATTCCTCTGAATGAAAGAGTTTTAAAAGAGCACAGTATGTAGGACAATATAAGAGATGGGTTGATAGCACAATGCCCTGTTTGACAGTACAATGGTTTTAGGAGATCAGTGATGCGTGACTGTAAGTGGATATTTCATATATTGGATATTTGTCATTTATTTGACAAAAGGAAGATGTCACTATACTGCACCACTATGGATATTTGGTTTTAACTTCCAAGGTAGGGGCCCTTTAGCTCAGCTTTCTCCATGAAGATTTAGTCTTTTTGTGATGCTGACTATGGCTCACCTAAATGGCAAACAGTAGTTATTGAAAGGTAAAGAATTGCACCAAGAAAAGATCTATCTTTTGTGTTGACTAACTTGAGCATAGAGTGAGACAGACACTGACAGCATGACAGGAACATTAACTATTGTCCACACTATTTTATCAACAATCCTAGAGCTGATATCTGAGTCCATAGTAAACTGGACGTTTCTGACATTTTGGCACTTTAAAAATCAATGCCAGACCAGTCTTCAAGTAAACCATTTCAAGGGCCTTTTCAACCCAACTGTCAATGTTCTCTTAGGTTAGTTTTATTGAGCGTCATAAATCCACGTTTTTATATAATAGGTTACCTCTCTCCGTCTCTCTCTCTCACTCTCTCTCTCTCACAAACACACACACATGCACACACAAAATGACCTTTTCAAAAAGTCTGTTGTAGTTGCTCTTGATTTGATTTAAACATTGTCCAGGGACAGAGTGCATCTATAAAACATTGAAAAGAACCAAAGTCTTACCAGCTACACATTTTGAGACATTCAGATGTAATTTTTCCAGCTGTGTTAAATATTTTTATAAAAGTCACTTCTGCAGCCAGAAATCAACATGAAAATACTTTTTTTTCCTTTGTTTTTCTTTCTGGTAAGTTAATTGGTCTTCCACGGATATTACTGGTATGAAGCCCCATATCCTCAAATATGACCCTTCTGCAGGTGGAATAATTCACAAAGGTCATATTTAAGAAGCTATTGAAGTCCAAGATTTTGAAGTCATGGTTTGGCACATATTTGGACACTTTTGGAAACAAAGTTGGAATATCTGCTGTAATTTCTCATCAATAGTTAACTACATGAACATTATCAAATACATTATTAACATATTTATTATGTTTACATTTTTTGCCTGTATTTCTATTATCTTTCTCTGAAAACTATTTCAAATAATGTTGCTGCGTGTTGTATCCAACCAATCACAGCCGGCAGATCTCTTCTTTCTTCTGTAAATTTGAATCTGTAACTATTTAGAGAAGAAGTTAATTTTAGTGCAGGGTTAGCTAGATCTCTACCATCTGTCCCACGGACTATTTGACTTGCTAACTACTATGTCACAAGATCCGGTTGAAAGGCCATATTGCCTCAGACAAATCAAGCAGTGAAGCTACTGTGAGGGATTTACGGTGCTGGAAATCCATTTATCTTTGTTTTGACTTTGTTTAGTTTAGTCAGTGAGACTTACTGCTAAATAACCGCAACTTCATCATCGTCATCGCAGCGCACAAGTTTTGATTGCTTAGTAACAGCAGGCGCGACAGGAGCGCAACCCTCTAAGCATCTTGGATAAAAGGATGAAAGCCGCATGGCTGGTGTTTTACGCAACTTGTGAATGGAGGCAAAGATGCAAAGGGATTATTTGAACTGAATATATAGAGTACAGCACTACACATTACTCTGCCTTCGGGCTCATGGTTAAACTTGATGTCAACCGCAAATGTATTGCTGGAGAAGGATACTGTTAAACCAGAGAGAAGGAGCGAGCAAGATCACACATTTAAATGAAATCAAATGCTGTAAGCAATGCAGGACGGGCCTGAAAGGAAGATGGGAAAAGCAGGAAATACAATGGAGAATGAGAAGGGGCATGAGATAAAAGGAACGTGGGATTAGGTGGGTGTCAAATATATTATTAAGTCTGGACAAGAGGAAGTGGGAGAAAGGAGAGTGTCTTCTGTTGGTCTAAGTCGATGTAACAGTGGACCCCTGCTACAAGGATGAATGGGGCTCATTTCTAACACGCTTCAATGAAGGCAGTGAGGAAGATCTCACTGGCTGCAAATCAATCAGTACTCTGTATATGTTTGTGTGCGAATGTGTACATTTGGTATGCACACCTATATGTGTGTATGCATGATTGTCAATAAGCTTGCAATAATATGTGTGTGTATGAATAGAAAGGCTAGCCCACAATCTACCTGAGCACAATAAAAAAAAAGCAAGAGATGCACGTGGGCTTTGTTCTTTGTTGGGTAATACACAAATAGATGGATTATTTCTTAGCGAGGGTTAGAGTGACAGCCATGTTTGAAAGCTCAAAGAAAGCCGAGGCAGTTAGCTTTTTACTGTAACACAACAAGATTTCAGAGGACAAGGCCAAAAACAATGTTTTAACACAAGACAGGGATAAAGAGGTTTTATGTTTTATGACGGACAATCCACTTATTATTGTAATGTGCTCCAGGCAGCATTAAATCCTAATGGGAGGGCCTGCCAAGCATTTACACATTCTGTTCAGATTGATCAAGACGTTTCTCTAGAGAGTTTATTGCAATGGCAGGTTACGTTTTTTAACTTCTCTCCAAACAGTTATGCCTGCTGGCATTTTTGAGACTGATTGTATATTAACACATTTCCAGAGAGTTAAATGCAGCCTGCACCTTTACCGCAATATATAAATAATATCATACCTCAAAGATGTGTTGTTTTGATGTCTTTCTATAACAGCAAAGATTGAATTCTCTGCAGTGCCTCCCACTTAATGCAGCTGTGTGAAGATCAGATCTGTGCCAAAGCATCAGATCAGATCAGATCAGATCAGATCAGATCAGTTAATCCAAACATAATCTTTCAGGATGTGCTTTGCTGTTTTAACAGCTTTTTTCTCCTGCAGCTAAGATCTGCTTGTATGCATTGATGTGGCACCTATTTTTCCAGTGCATTAGTTTACCTTTCTTTCTGTCTGTCTTTCTGTCTAGGTGGAGAGGTACCCTACACCACTCTAGCTACAAGGATGATGATGGGCGTTTGGTGGATGTTCGCTCTCATTGTCATCTCTTCGTATACCGCTAACCTAGCAGCCTTCCTCACCATCTCGCGCATAGAGAACTCCATACAGTAAGTATCCAACAGACTTTGTCAGTGGTATCAGCCACGCTGGCTTCAGAATGTAGTCCCGTGGCTTTGATTTCTGAAAAACTCAGATCTTTTGACATTAGTTTCGTGATACGAGAACTGAAACCCCTGAACTAAATGTACAAGCACAAAAGTATGCATGCGTGCATCTATGCGCACACACTTATGTTCACTCGCACCTATTCACCATAGAGTTTGTGTTTAGCTCTGCGTGCATGACTAATTGTTTCTCACACACAGACACACTGCGGTCTTCCCCAGTGTGCTTGATTCTTGCTCAGTGCGAAAATCCATTCTACCAGGCAGGTGTAATGCATGAGAGGCAACACATACACACAATTACTTCCCTATCCTTTCTATCCTTCCTCCCCTCCTCCTTCACCCCATTGCAGGGTAGTAATTTCCTGTCTGCCTCAAGTTTGGATCTATCATTGTGTGTTGTGTGTGTGTGTGTGTGTATGTGTGTGTGTGTTTCCAGTGATGAAGGTAAGGAAGATCAGGAGAAAGAGAGAGAGAGAGAATGAGTGTGAAAGAAAGTAAGAAGAGAGTGTTATTTGCATGTTCTTCACATTATTGCCCTCTGTTAATCTATCCTTGTGATAATGTGTGTGCCTGCTTCTCTCCTGGTGGCACAAGGAAACCCTCATCTCTCATTGGACTAATCAGCATGCCGAAGCATCCGCTATGCCCGGCAGTGCCACAGTTAATCGTGCTTGGCTTTGGAATAAACAACATTTATTTCTCTAAATCCCATCACTATTTGTCTCTTCATTTGTTCCTGTCACTTTGTCTCTACATTGTTCTCCTTTTCCATCTCTTTTCTGTCTTTGGCAGACCTCCTTTTTGTTTTTGTCTCCACCCTCTCTTCTTCTGTTTTTCTCCCCTTTGTTCCAATTACTTCTGTGTCTCTTGGAAATTATGTGGAAATAATCTATTTACTTATTTTCCTTTTCCTTTATTTTTTTTTAGCTTTTTTCACTCAAATTTGCTGTCATTAATGTAGTGGCTCACAGTTTACCGCCTCATTCGGTATCCATTGAGCTAATTAAGGATTTCCATAAATTTTAATGCATTATCTTTAATGTGTTGACTCTTCTGGTGTCATTAGTGGCATAATTACCATCTAAACAGCAGCAGCCACATGGCCCTGGGTCTCCAAAGATGAGTGGTGGGGTGAGTGGTGAGAGGTAAGATACCCAAAACAGACTTAGAGTCCTTGCAAAGCACAACAAAACTTCAACGCAGAGATGAAGAGAGTTAGCCGAGAGAGGGAAAAAAGGAGGATCGCGATGTTGTGATTAGCGTGCAGTTTTATCTGATGGATACTTCATTAACATATTACGCAGATTGGATTGAGAGCAAATGGTTTTGTAAGTAAGAGTTTGAGAGAGTGAATTAATTAAGTATGGAAAAGAGCAAGCAAGCAAATGCACAGACAGGAAGAGAAGGCCAGGAAGGATGAAGGCATCGCTCATCTTCGTGTCCCAGTGAGCAGTCAGGACAGGCAGGGTTTTTAAGTATTAATGCCCTTGTTTCATCCTGGAAATGAAATAACAAGTGAGCATTCAGAACCCTCACTGGACTATTTCACGCTTGGATGTTTTCCCTCAATTTCAGTGTGAATCCTTCAGGAAAACAGTCAGGGATGGCGGTGAAGAGTGGCAAAGAGAGGGAGCAAGTAAGACACATACAAAGGGAAAGAGGGAGAGACAAAACTTCATAACGTGGAAATAAAGAGAGGAGCTAGGTGGAAGAAAAGATGAGACGGATTAAGACATGAAGAGAGGAGGGAGGCAGAGAGGTTAGGAGGGAACAAAGAGAAGGCTAGAAAAAAAAACGAGAGTGGAGGGAAGTGTGAAAACGGAGAGAGAGGAAGGGGTTTTGGCCGTGGTGATGAGTTAAGATGAGAAATAGATTTTGGAGGGGTAAAAATGTGAGAAAAGCAGGTGGCACCCGTTGAGAGAGGAGTGAGATGGAGCGGAAGAATTGGTCAGGATGGGAAAATTGAAAGACGGATGGAGTGTTTGAGGATAAAAAGCCTCCTTTCCTGGCTCAATCCCACACAGCAGGTGTCATATGTTATGGTTGCTAATGATGCCAATAAAGGCAATTCGGTCTTATGTGTGCTGTGTGTGTCTGTGCGTGTGTGTGAGTGTGTGTGTGTGTGTCTGGACATCAAAATGGCTAGTTACTGCTCTGTATGTATGCATGCATTGTCTGTTACATCCCAATGGTCAGCTGAAACAGCATAGTGCTTTGGTCAGCAGTCATTTGGTTATTTGAAGTCTGCATGTTTTCTAAAGGGCTTTATCACTTCACCCTCTGTTGGCGAGAAGGGGAATATAACAGCACTGTTCCAATGGTACAGAATAATAGAATAAGAATAATGTAATAATGACATTTACTGTCTTAACAGTAGGGTAGTAAACATAAACATCTACTGAAGAGATAGCAACACATAATGACATTGCTTCAGCCTGACCAACAATAACATATAGAAAATAATAATCGCCTCTAAAATACTTTAATATTATGCTAAGAAAATTGTAGCTCCCAAACCCCTCCAATATTTACAAATAACACATATACAAACATAACGTCAGCAGCCTTTAAATGTAACTCGCTTACTCTGAAGACCATGTTTAGCTATTTTCATTGTTTGGGGAAAAAGAAAAACTCTTTGAGTTTTGGCTTCTGTCCGCGCAGATTGCTTGTTGTTCAAGGTTGCTCAGATGTCTGCAGTGTGTCGACAGCCATTTGTAAAAAGTTAATGAACTGATCAAGGCTCTAGTGCCTTTACCAAAATGAATTTCCCAACAGACTAACTGAGCCAAGATACTCTTTGTCTTTTGGCCTCTGATAAAACTAAAGCCCATCCTTTGACTCTCCGCAAATGGAATGATTTGCCTCTTAACCTATTTCTAACACATGAAGTGACATAGCAACCCAAGTCTTTCCTGCTAAATATAAAGATTTAATAAAAACTGCTTTAAAAAATACAATAACATATTATATATATATATATATATATATATACAGAGTTTATTAGCATTGCTTAGAGCATTGTAAAATCAATAGCTTTCAACGAAGACGGCCAGATAACCAAATATGCATACTACACTAATTAACATGAAATTAATACCTTACCCTTCTCTTTCTCACTCTCACACACACACACACACACACACGCACGCACACACACACACACACACACACACACACACACAGTATTTGTCACAGGATACATTCAGCTGCCATTCACTCCATTTACTTGCTCATTGGGCTGCTTAGGGGTAATATAATTGGTTGCAAAATGAGCTAGCATACCCACAGGACAGAAAAGCGAGTGTGTGCCAACACATGCACATATTCCATTCACACAAAACATTACCCAAAAGATTATTAAGCACATAATTCATATATGCATACTTCCATTTATTAAACACAGAGTAATACATTTGGAGGCAACCAATGGCCGTGTTTTGTTTTTAATTAAAATCCAGACATTTCATAGTGTTTTATTAAAGATGAATTATGGCAAACACCCCCTTATGCTGTCTTGTTTTTGTCCACTTCTCCAAATTTCCCCTCTTTAAATGAGACCATGTCCCTTCATATTTTAAGTCATATGAAGTAAACATCATGCAAGTGCATTTTAGCAGGGGCTGTTTTTTATAACAATATTCAATCAACAAAATTATAACTAGTGTACAGGATGTTCTGATTTTTAGAGATATCAAAGTATGAACATTGGGTACTGTTTTTCTTTTTGGAAAGGCGCTGATTTGTTCTGTGACCTGCAGCACATATGTCTCCTCTAATATTAACACCTATAAGTTTGAGATTGTGTTTTCGTTTTCCAATTTGGCAGCATTTACAGAGGTTGAGTCACCATTAACACGTTTTCATCTGGACGTTTTTTTTGTCTCTATAAAATCTAAACTCATCTGACATGACATTTTTCACCCGCTCTCTCTCCCTCCCACACATGCTCACACCATTAAATAACAAGCCCAGAGTTACTACCCAGTGAAACCAATTCACAAAGGGGGAATCCTGGTCAAAGAGTGTGCTGACAGGCGTGCATATTCACAGGGGAGTGGTGGGGAGGGGAGATTATTAAGGCCAAAGATTAATTGACGGCAATAAAAGATTCATGTTCCCGGCAAAGTTCATTAAAATCTTCAAAGGTTTTTTTCAGAGCGGGTCAGAGAGATAGTTGAGGAGGGCATCAGAGAGAGAGAGAGAAACCGCAAGAGCTGTGACTTTCCATAAAATGTCTGAATGTGTTATTTCATATGCGTGTGTCTGGGTGGGCAACCTTATAATAATGCGCCAGTAGCTACCTATATTTGTGCTAATTGTCAAATCTGCTTTTTTCAGTGTATTACAGCTGAACTAATGAAGTATACTGTACATTTGCTGTTCATCATGAAGCAGGACATGTTGAGCGTTTCTGTGTAAATATTTTGTTTCACAAACCTCTCAAGTCTCTCAAATCCATGGGTGGTATGTAGCAGCCATTTAACAAACAAACAGTAATTAGTTCCTGTAATGGTTCTCCATTACATTTCTCAGCGGCCAAAATATTTCAAAAGCAACCCCAGCACTGTTGCATTGCAATTAGCTTGTGTATTCCCCCAGAGGTGTCGATTCATGGGTGAGGGATAGAGTGAGAGAGAAAGGACAAGGGGGAAATAATAAGAACAAAATAACAAGACAGACTGACTTGTGTTTTTTCGTTTTTTTCATTTCTGCTTCTGTATTTTTGCCTGCCTATTTCTTGATATAGAGACAAAGCACAGTTAAGTCCCACCCACATCAGAGGGGAAAACAATTCTTCGCTCTCCGTTGACTTTATCTTGCGTGAAGGTGCCTCCTTGTCATTCCCGTCTGCGAACAAACAGCAGTAAAATGCCTAAAAGCTGCTATGTGGTGGGATTCACTACCAACAGGGTAAAGAACCCAGAACTAAGTTTTTATAAGCTGCCGAACCGAAAAACTGAGGATACGGGCAATAAAATGTGAGGCATCAGCAGGAAGAATGTGGAATGGAATCCTGACACTATGCCTTCGTGTGTAGCAAGTATTTTGTCCAAATGTCAGTTTAGGCTAACTATATTTCTTTAAGTTAAGCATTTTGACAGCGTGCATGCTGGGTTACAGTGGGATTTAGATAAAATCAGAAAGCTATGCAGTGTTATGTTTGCAAGTGCCTTAGCTAACTACAGTAGTTTGTAAACGCATAGCCACAACTAGCTTGCTGACAGCTACCTTCCACCGTCACTATTTTGTATGTATAATTTTACTTTTGTTAGTGTTTCAGCCCTTGGTTGCACATTGTGGCTCCGATTGTTTCCCCCTCTTGTGGGTGTGCTGAGAACTGAGTGAGTGATGCTGTCATAACAGCTTTCCACCCTCATTTTTTCTCACATTTGTTGGTCATTGCCAATTCCCATTTTTCTGTTTTTATTCCATGTCAATTACATGTTGCTGCCAAGTCCCACAGTTGGCCCGTGGACAGTTTAGATTCACTTATAGGCAAGAGATAGTGTGGACCACAGTGCAGCTGGCCACTTCATGAATACTCTGATGCCCGCTTCTCTCTAGGTTATAGTCAGTTATCCCTGGGAAGTTACCAAGAACGTAACAAAGGCTTGATCATTCACCACGTCCCCTCATGCAAACATACGCCTGCCAAGCCAGAAGCGCCACAGTAAAAGATTTAATCCAGGTCAATTACCCTTGGAGCTCTGTGAATAACAACTCTTTTCACCACTTGAAAAGAAAAGTGAGGTCATGTGTGTGCATGCAGTAATATTGGATTTGGCTCATTATCATGGGCCGACAAAGTACAGACGGATCAACTTCTCATTTGTCGGACAGGCTGTTCAGTCCAAAGCCATGTTAGAAAGCGTCATCCTTGCAGCAGATGAGATAGCAGTGTAGTGCATTGTGGGAACTTGTTGCACAGTGGGCATGCTGTTAAAAATGAGGCATTGCGACATCCATTACTACAGCCACCAAAGAACAGCTAAAAGGTGGCTCTAGTATCAACACAACAGTAACACCCAGTGGATGAACTGAGCCCCATGTGTGCTGTGGTGCTGATCATTCAGGCAGAGTCTGCATGGAGCTTTCAGTGATGGAAACAATGTGAGTTCTAACCTTTGTCACAACTTGTCTCTCTCTCTAGGTCCCTCCAGGACTTATCCAAGCAGACAGATTTGCCTTATGGTACAGTGTTGGACTCTGCCGTATACGACCAGGTGCGCTCCAAATCTATGAACCCCTTTGAGAGAGATCCCATGTACTCCCAGATGTGGCGGATGATTAACCGCACCGGAGGAGGAGATAATAATGTCGAGGAGTCCAAAGAAGGCATCCGCAAGGTAGGTCTTTACCGTTTTAATTAGTTGTCACTTCCAAACAAAGCGCCGTTGACGTGTGTAAAATCACGGTGGTTAGTAAAACAATCATCGGAGTCGAATGACTACAGTGATGTGTTTTGCATACGGGGGACTAGGTGCAGTATGACAGCAATATCAAAGCAATTATTCATTACTCTGAGCAAAGAATTTTCATTCAAGCCATCATTTGTCAACATTTGACCTTGTCAACACACTTCATTTGGTTGTATTGTAAAAATCAACCTGAGTGGCAAAACGAGTCTCCGAGGTTGTCACATCGATGACTCATATTATTTTGAATCCAACTTGTATTTAGCGTTTTTAAATATCAACAGTATTACATATCTTTCAGATACTATTGTAATTCAAGTTACGGTTAAACAATCATACTCAGCCTCTTTTCTGCAATGAATACAGCAGGGGTTAGGGGATCAAATTTGAATTCTAACTTATCAACATTTGCTGTTTTCTTTGCTTGAACATATTTGATGGTATAAAAGGTGACATTTGCCCTGAAAACCAGGTGAATCTCGTGGTTTGATAACACCACAAGAATTGCCATGCTCCCAGAGAGCAATTCCACTTGAAAGCATTGCTGCCCAGCTTTATGCTAAATGTCCAAACCAATCATAAAAACAAGTCGTGGGACAAAGGGACAGCACGCTGGGTGCAGGTGCAGTTGTCACTGAATAACATAGGCAGCTAGTAAATTATGTCTCATTGCTTTTCACATGTAATGATACCAGTAATTCAATTCAATATATTTTGTATGGCCCAAAATCATAAATCACAAATTTGCCTCAGAGGGCTTTACAATCTGTCCAGGGACAGACACCAATAAGGTGTCTTCCAATAGAAGCACCCAGCACAATTAGTTGCCGATATGTGTTGACAGGTCCAGCTTTGTAGAATCCAAGTCAAATTTCCCCATGGAGAAAATAAACTATATATATATACATATATATATATATATATATATATATAGAAATTGGATATTCTTCTGGTATACATTATATCTCATTGTACGCAGCTCAGCCTCATTCCTGTTTTGATATACAGCTCATACAGCTCAGCCGGGTCGTCTGTGTTGATAAGGGATAAATCTATCTAAACGATGTTAACGATACACGGACAACGCGCACATGGTAAAATACTTAATTCCCTCGGTGATTACCCAACATCATAAATATCTGACTGCTGCATCTCATTTGCACGCAACCCGCTTTCTGTTTGCATCGCCCTTCTCTACTGTAGTGAGGGTCTCACTTTATCCCTCCTCCTTCTAGAATATATTAGACTTGAACTGAAGCCAGCATCGGAGGCGTTGGAAGTGTTGGGAGGACTGATTAAAGTGGCTGGTGGTATTTTTTAAATGATGTGATAAATGCAGCACATAACAGCATATAAGCACACAGCTATTAACACTCACTCACATATGTTGCTCATTGGCAGAGGTGTTTATTCAGCACATATAACTAATTAGTAGTGTGTCCAGGATCGTGCACAAGTCAGACTTTTATTGCTAAGCAGAGTGTGTGTAAATTCAGAAGACATTCATTCTCATAACTCACACACACACGTTTGGCAGACCAATTCAGGCATCTTTTTTTTATTCTTTTATAGAATGCAACTAATAAAAAGTCATAATATTACAGAAATTGTCATTTTAATGCAGAGCTCACGAACTTTTTCGTGACCAACACAGAGTGAAATTTTGAACTTGCATCTAAAAGAGAATCCATGAGTTTTAAATACTGGCAATTTCTCAATCAATTTGAACTGTCACATTGCTTTAAGTATGTAAAAATCCTAAAATATTGCAACTTTGACACGTCAATATTGAAGAATACAAAAGTGAGGTGAGCATGGAGCTCGGTCACTATCGCAGAGCAGCGGGATAATGTCCTCACAGTGTTATTTGTTGACATTGCTGGACAGGCTGGCGAGTTCAAACAAAAAATGTCATCATTGCAATATATGAGAGAACAGTGTGTTTCTTTTTATAATGATATCTACCACCACTGTTGATACAGTATGCCAGGCCAACGAAATCAATGTACTTTTCCACTGATTGGCTACAGGGAGTGGTTCCAAAAATCAGTTCCACCCTGTGTACACATCCGTGCCACATCACAGCGTCCACAGAGCAGCTAAAAGGTGGACTGTGGTATCACTACAGCAACAGCAATTTCCAGGTGATCAGCCGAGCCTCCAGCGTGAGGTGGAGCTGAGAGAGCTGACAGAGTCTGTGTGATGCTCACAATAAGTGCATGGCCAGAGACACTGACAGACATCATGCTTGGAAATTTATAGCACCTGTTTGCTTGTTGACAAGCGTGGCCATTGCAGCGTCAGACCAAATAGGGGATGATCTGGAGATTGCATCACCTCATCCACAGCTTTAAAGGAGGATTTGGTGCAAATGTCACCTTGGTTTATCAACCTATTACACACAAGTAAGCCTGGCAGAATTGTATGATTAATATGTAATTCACTTGAGCAAATATGACAAGAAATATGTTTAGTAATGTTGCCAAGTGCAGCTTTAAGGGTGGATGGTTCTTATAGCTACTGACACTGAATGTTCTGTGATGGGTAATTCATATAAATAAGGTTGCTTTGCTATGGCAGCAGAGTGTGAGCAGGGAGGGGTGACAGGAGACAGGAGCTAGATGAAGGGCTGGTCGTAAGCACGATGAAGAGAGGGTTTGGTTTTCGTGGATAAATTCTACATGACAGAGGTGACACCTCCAGAGTTGCAGCAAGCACTGCACAGCAGCAATGACGGAGACCGCAAGAAGGAGGCAGACCCTTTCTTCTAAAATTCTCTCTCTGGATTTGATGTCTCTCACTGCACCACGGAAAATTTGAAAACCTCTGCGCAACTATCCTTCTATGTTCTGACACTCTTCTTGTTTTCCCCTCGAATTTTACCACCCTCTCTATATTTCTTCTCTTTCCTTTTCCACCTCTCTTTCTATTCTTCCTCTCTGCACCCTCTGTCTCTGTCTGTTTTTTATTCCTCTACATTGCGTTAAAGGCTACAGGCTGCACTCTAGTGGTACACTGATGTCCGTCCCCTTCTCAGAGCTGCATTAACACCAGTGGATCTTTTCTTCCTGCTGCAGTGGCACCATCAGTGACACTGTTGGAATGGTTGATCGCATGTTTAAACCTCCATTGAAACTCAAATTGTACTATTTAATGATGCCTGAACACAGTACTATGAATGAAAACTTGACTTCAATTTACTCAGTGAAAAAACGGTTTTATCTTCCTCTATGTTAAGTACGTCCTTTCAGAGAAAATTGCTAAGATATAATTTTACATTGGAGCTTGTCACATAAAGAAAAAAAGACATGTCAAAGGCTACAGTAAATGATCTCAACAAGGTCTGCTAAAAGGAGATTCAGAAACTAAGCCTGTAAAACACTTAACAGCTAGGAGACAATTACCTTAAAAATCCTTCAGTGAAAACTTTCAACTTGTTCTGATTTCTTTTCATACTGACAAATATATTTGGAAGCCAGTGAACACAATACCTGGAATAGTAATTTCAAGCTGGAGGCTATTTGGAAGGCCGTGATGTGATTACAGACCCCGTGAGTCGGTCAGACTCGGACATCTTTTGTGCTCTGTCTCCATTTGATTTATTTGGATGTGTTTGTCTTCTTCCACCTCGTCCCTTTGCTATATTTGATTCCGATGAGGTTAAGAACTTGAAACATTTTTTTCCCTTCAGTGGCATTTTCTCTCTCTCTCCTTTTCCTCATGCCGCTCTACCTCTCTCGCTCTTTCTCTTGGGGCCTTTTCTCTTCCACAACAAACCTCTTACTCCTTTCTGTCACTGGTGTTTCCTGTGCACTGTGGATTTTCTTGCTTTTCAGTTTGGATCTCCAGCACCAGAACAATATTAAATGTCAGAACGGGTCAGTGTCTGAGCTATCTCTGGTATCACTCACACACAAATATAATATGCACGTGCACACACACGCAGATGCACTGACGTGTGGAAGCAGGCACACACAAACACAGCGCACGTCCATAAGCAGCATGCTTTATACACCAACACATTTACTCATGTGCACTCCTTCCAATCAGTGATACGCACATGCACACGCAAAGCCAGCTGCAGGGTGAAGCTTGTCACATGTGTATGCGTCTCTCCCATTTCAGTCAATGATCAAGACGTTTAATAAACTGAGGTGTTGCACCTCAGACTTGATATCTCATTAACTCAGTGTCGCATATATGTCAAAGATGCTGGGCACGCTGTGGGTCACTGTTTGATATAACAACGTCTTCATTTAAGGCATTGCGTTACTCAGCTGTGATCGTCTAGATTTATTCTTGCATGGTCTCTAGAGGGAGGGGGGGAGTATTTTTTTTCTCTGTGTGTGTGTGTGTGTGTGTGACGTTAAGCAAGCCCTTTAGCTCAGGAGCTCCTGACAGCTCAGCATTTGACCGTTGTGCTAACTTGTAAAAGTAATAACTAAAATGTAGTATCAATTACTTACCCTCTTAATTACTTTACCTCTGCACCCCCCTGGACTGCAGCCTGTAAATTACTGATAAAATGAAGTGTCATATCTTCTGTCATAAAAAGGGAAAGTAATAGTAAGAGTAGAACATGGTAACTCCCTCAGCTAAAAAATACATTTGAATATAAATTGTTAAACAACCAGCCAGGTCTGCAACATCCAGTGCTGGCACACTGTTTGTTTTTTTCTGTGCAGTATGTATGTGCTGTTCATGTTTTTGTTACATGTCCATAGCTGTGTTCCATAATATTAAATCGGTGATCACATGATGATTTTTTTTTTTCTGGCTTTAATTCCAGCCGTTAACACAGAAGACTATATTCTCACTATAGCGCAGGCATGCATATATACAAGCGTGGCATGCACACACACACGCTTAATCTGAAACAACCGCTAAAACCTTTACATTTGCATGCTCAGGCACATACATGTTTGTGCTGA